TCCGTCAGTTCTTCAGCCGATGGATGCGACCTCGCGTTGTCGAGAAGCAAGATCAGTTTCTCGACCTTCCCGTTCTTCTTCTCCACAGCAGGGATGAACGTCGTGGTAAACCACTCCTTAAATATTGAGCGGTCCATCCATGCGTTTGTTTGGTTAACATACTGCACCGGGAGTATGTTAACATTTTTGAAGGCCCGCGGATGCTTCGCCTTTCCTATCACCAGCAGCGGAACTTTATGCGTTCCCGTTGCATTGGCGCATGTCATTACGGTGACTCGTTCCTTCGCAAGTTTGTGTCCCGGAGCCGAATGTTCGTTGCGTGGAGCCAACGTTTTCCTTGGAAGACATTTCCAAAATAAACCTGTCTCGTCAGCATTATAGACGTTGTCGAGGGACACTCCTTCGATTTCGACGAAGCTGCTAAATATCTTCGTAAACTCATCGCTAGCCACAGCATCACTCGACAGCCTCTCTCCGTCTACGCGTATCATCCGGATTCCATGCCGCTGCTGGGACTTCCTCAGCCACCCAGTACTGGCTTTAAAATTGGGGCGTCCCAATGTTTCGGCCAATGTGCTCGCCTTGTTCATTAGAAGGAACCCGGAGATCGGAAACCCAGTGTCTCGCTGCTGAATGAACCATGTATAAATGATCTTTTCGAAGTCAGACCCGACGACACCGGTGTAGCGCTTCCTTTTCAGTGACCCTTGTTGGTCTAAAAAGGAGCACTTCTTCTTCACGAAGTTCTCCTTCGTCTTTTTTAGCACTTGCATGGTGCGTATGCTGACACCAAACTCCGCAGCGAGGCTCGAACACAACTCCCCATCGCCCATGCGTTTGACGATGTCGAGCTTTTGGTCCATGTTCAGCCACTTGTGGACCTTTCGCGCCTTCTGTTATCGCGACGAGGGACATTTAGCTTTTTCTCCTAACAATTATGCGGGCGACATATACAACATACCTTCTTCTTTCCTGTCCGATCTTCCATCGTCTCGGCAAACTCCTCTCGAAATATCGTCTCGGTGAAATGATATGTAATATCAACAAGAACGCGGCACTCGAGAATTGGATAATTGCAGGTTATGTATGTTAAATCCGACGGGCAATCCGATTTCCGAAGGGCTCACGAAGCCGCACGAGTGCAGATGGCGTGCAATGCTGCGCGAGCACCGTCCGAAAAGTGAGGGAACCGGTGACGGAGGAGAAAAACGCAGATGTTGCGTCACTTCCGGTCCCGACCGGCGCAGACGTTTTACTGTACTTTATACAGTACCTACCAAAAGTTCTGGGCCACCTAAATAATTTTTGAATGGTTTGAAATGTAGGATTGAAATTTATAGGGATACAATGGGATCACAAAGTCTATTATTTATCCACAAAAACACCCACCTCCACACCCCCGCCCAGTGAGAAATGATTCGAAACGACGTCGAATCGACATCGACACCGTCGAATTGACGTCGATTCGACATCATTTCGACGTCGATCGACGAATCATTTCTCACTGGGCGGGGGACGGGGGGAGGAGGGAGCCAAAAAACCTTAAATGACATGTGGGGTTGAGTGAGCACTCGTTCGAAAGGGCTTTCCAAGACGAAAACAACGCGGGGTCGCCGAGGTCTCTACGATTTTTTTTCGCAGAGTTATGATCATTTGAACATTTTTATTGAGATTTTGCGATAGTAAAGGCCCACGGCGACAACAGAAGAAAGATAAGGCTCCACGCACTCACGCACGCACGCACGCACGCACGCACGCACACAGAGGAACGCGCGTGCCCGCGTGAAGCCTTATCTTTCTTCTGTTGTCGCCGTGGACCTTTGCTATCGCAAAATCTCAATAAAAATGTTCAAATGATCATAACTCTGCGAAAAAAAATCGTAGAGACCTCGGCGACCCCGCGTTGTTTTCGTCTCGGAAAGCCCTTTCGAACGAGTCCTCACTCAACCCCACATGTAATTTAAGGTTTTTTGGCTCCCTCCTCCCCCCATCCCCCGGGGGTGTGGAGGTGAGTGTTTTTGTGGTTAAATAATAGACTTTGTGATCCCATTGTATCCCTATAAATTTCAATCTTACATTTCAAACCATTCAAAAATTATTTAGGTGGCCCGGAACTTTTGGTAGGCACTGTATGTGATAAATACCTAAGGAAAACCAATAATAATGGTACCTATTATTAGTATAATGTTATTTTTATTAATTTAAGTTCTTTTATGAGAAATGGCTTTCAAAATGTTGTTTTATTTTAATTTTTATTTTGAAATACTCTATATATTATAATTTGTTGTGCCCCGATTGCATAAAGAGGTAAGGAGGGCACTCAAGCAATGTAATCGCATGTAAAATAACACTAGCGTAAGCATATTGCGCGATCGAGCCACAAAAGCCCGACCGCGCAATCTAAGTAAATTCGGAGAAGAAGTCAGCTAGTTCTCGACCCGATTACGCATAACCTCGATCGAGTACCGAGAAACCTCGATCGAGTACCGAGAACGCTGACGCCTCGATCATCGGGTTTAAAACCGGAGGAAAGCCCGAGATCGGGGCACTTGTCACTATCGCGCATCCGATAACATAGTGTACGCGTTAAACACTTGTCCGTCAGGCCTTCGGCCTGCCGTCAACCAATCTTGTGAAACTCAGTTAAATAAAGTTAATCTGTGAGATCCAACGGTGCCTTCTTGAAGTGACCTCCGACCAGCCACATCCCATCAAAGAACCCCTTCGGTTCTCGTCAGAGAACACCTCCGGAGCGAGTAAGAAGGAAAATACACCGCGCACGGAGCGGCGCGGCAACAAATTCTTATTTTATTTTAAAATATTATATTTTTATTTTCATATTTAATGTTTTTTGTATTATTTAATAGCATGTATATTTTTGTTTTGTACGAATACTGGTAAGGATTTTTTGGCAGTTTTTCCCCTTGCCTTTACAACAAATGTTGGTATTCTCTGAGATCTCTGCCAAATAAAATATTTTCATTGTGATTTATAAAAAATGTGTTATTTAAAACATTTCTTTTCCCTTTTTCCTAATTATCCTTTCTATTATACTTTATATTTGTAAAATAATTAAATTGTATAAATTACATGTATTTTTACATACATATGTACCTACATATTTTATATTTTTAAAACTTTATAAAAACAATTTTTGTACTTTTTACCCTTTTGATAGCGGGGTGTAACGGTGCCCCTTTCCACTAACACTAAGCACTCTACTGACGTCGTATTGCCGCGTGTGCGCAAAACAGCCTAGCCCCAATTGGAACACTGCCGTACACTCGGCTAAAAAAGTTCAGTCTTGGTCCGAGGAAAATCGGAATTAATATTAACCATCTTCCGTAGCCAGCACAATCGCCAGATTTCAACATCATCGAGCCGTTATGGGGAGTTTTGGAGCAGAGAATGAGGAGCAGATTTCCATCTCCATCATCATTGAGGCAATTGGCGAAGGTGTTCGAAGAATGGGACAACATTCCGTTGGATACTGTCCGTACACTCTACGAATCTATTCCACGACGAATTACAGCTGTCTTAAAAGCAAATGGTGGCCCTACACCTTATTATTATACAGGGTGTTAGACTCGTTTGTAGCCAACCTAAAAATTACGGAAGATTGGGTTAAACTGAGAAGAAAAGTCATGTACCGTTGTGCAAAATTAGCAATAGTTATCGCGTAATTCATAAAAACGTCTGGTCGAATGAACGCACAAGGAGCGGAAGGCCGGACCCGGCCTTTTTTAGGTTGGCTACAAACGAGTCTGACACCCTGTATTTAAAGTATATTAATCCTATATAATCCTTAAAAATTTTTATTTCAAAAATTTGCATGACCACGCATACAATTTGGAAAATCATCTTATTGATTCGGTAGATTACCCACATAGTTTATTTATAAGAAATTTAATTTCTAAACTAATGTGCAGTGATATGAGTTACTGCACCGTGTATTATTGAAAGGGGGAGAAACAATATATTTAAAATTTAGCCAAATCCCACGGTACGAAGCTTGATCTTCCCCTTATTAGTTGAGTTCACGTGCAGGTGCTACGAGCTTTATTTTATTTATTATAAATTTTTTAAAAGTCAAAATGTAAATTCAGGCACTTTAGCGAGAAACTAAACTTTGTAAGGAATATGACAAAAAGTTTCACAAAGAAATAGAACTTTTTCGAAACTAAATACGACAAGAGAAAATATTAGTAACGAATAATACCACTCAACTGTCACTTACCGATTTCAATGAAACTTGGCACTTATTATACACCAAAAAATATTAAATACGTATTTTTTGTTTCGGTTAAATGCGCAATTTAGGGGTAGACATCACCCCTTAATGCCTAAGGGTGGGAATTTTCGGAACGATACATTTTTCGAAACAATTGGAACAAAAGTTGTAGGGTTTAGTGTGTTCAAGGTCAATTCGTGTTTTTGAAGGTGCTCGTACGCTTTTGATCCGAAGAACCGATAGAATGTGAAAATTCACTTTTAGAATGAAGAGTAGATGAGGGATTCTATTGGCCCAGAAAAGTTATTTGAAGATCAGTTTGTTTTTCTCACAGAATTTTGTTTTCATCTCTAGAACGATATATTGGAAAAGTATGTTTCTAGACCTTGATGTTGATAGAAATATTTGTGGAGTTACACATAATGTAATTAATGTTGACCTTCAGGTTGACCCCGAAATTGGATCTCGATCACATCTTACGTTTACTGACTGGGTCCTGATTACATTTTGCCCTCATTGGTTGGATCTCGAACACATCTTGCCTTCAGTGGCTGGATTTTGATTCAATTTTACCTTCACCAGCTGAATTTTAATCACACCTTGCGCACCTTCACTGGCTGGATTTTAATCACACTCTGCCTTCACTGGTTGTATCTTCATCATATTCTGCCTCATTAGGACGGCTAATGCACTGCCCTCTCTTTCTTGGTTAACTTCAAAATCCACTTCAGGGTCAACCTGAAGGTCATCAGTAACTACATTATGTGTATCTCCACAATTATCTCTATCAACATTAAGGTCTAGGAACATATTTTTCTAATGTATTGTTCTGGAAATAAACACAAAATTCTGTAAAAAACACAAACCGACTTTCAAATGACCTTTCTGGGCCAATAGGATCCCTCATGGCATTCTTCATTCTGAATGTGAAATTTCACATTCTATCGGTTCTTCGGATGAAAAGCGTGCTAGCACCTTCAAAAACACGAATTGACCTCGAACTGACCTTGATGATCGACCTCAATGTTAACTTCAAGGTCACCATCAAGTACAACACACTGAACCCCATAATGTAAGAAGATAAGGTGTGCTCTCACCGTGAACCAATTTTGGTTTGTTTCTGCGCCTTCCAAAACGACGCCATGTTGGGAAATATCAACCAATAGCATCAATGCGCGAGATGTAGATAATTATGCTATATTATCTCAGGAGGAAGATGAAGATAATGAAGAAGATGACAGCTGCGAAGGCATTCATGCTATTGGTTGATATTTCCCAATATGGCGTCGTTTTGGAAGTGTCTGTGATTGGTCGTGCGCGGTAGCACACCTTTCTTCTTACATCATGCTGAACCCTAAAACTTTTGTTCCAAGAATTTTATCGAAAAATGTATTGTTCCGAAAATAATTCGCTGTAACAATTCCCCCAGGAATTGAGGGGTGATTTACTCCTAAATTGCACATTTAGCCGAAACAAAAAATACGTGTTCAATACTTTTTAGTGGTCAATAAGTGTACCAAGTTTCATTCAAATCGGTGAATGGCAGTTGGGTAGTGTTACTTGTAAGTTGCATTAAATCTATATCAAAAGAGCAGCTGATGGAGATATTTTCTGTAGTCGTACACTGATCGCATGACAAGAACAGACAACTGCTATCTTTATTTCTCTTGCACTGCCTATTTGTTTGTATGCATAGTGGCACACACCTATACATAGGAACCAGGAATTTATTTCTCAAATTGGTTATTCTGAAACCAAAGTTTAGCACTGTCACTGCATAAGGTCTCCAATATTAATTCGAAGTTTGCCCGTCACTCTTGTTGACCCTTAAAAGTACAAGACAATTACTTTGCTAAAGCTTTTAAGCTAAACGCTGGACTCGTAAACAACAATTTGCACAATTGGTTTCTTGGGCGGCGGCGCTGTTGCCGATGCGGCAATG